GAAGAGCCCCCTTTATGCAGTGGGGGGGCAGCGGGGATCGTCCCCCCCACTGGGCAGGAATGGGCGAGTCCGGGGTTTTTTTTCTTTTCTTAAAGAGCTGGAACTCGGGCAGGCAGGGTAGCCATGGAGGGGGCTGGGGAGGTGGGGAAGTGTCAGGGGGTTCATCCAGAGCCCCCCACCCAGTGCAGGGCAGTATGGATTGCCCCCCACCCAGCAGCACCAAGTGACTGGGGGCCTCTTTTTTTTTTAAAGCACTGGGAGCTGGGGTGGGTGGGACAGCCATGGGGGGGGCTGGGGCCTGGCAAGGGTCCCCCATGGTCCCCTAGCCCTGCCCTCCCCACCCCCTACTTGCCAGCTCCATCTCCCTGCTGCAGCAGGTGGGGACTGCCCGAATCACTGAAGATCTTCAAATCTTTTCAGAAGACTTGGAGAGCTTCGAATCAATTTGGACCTTTTCATTAGTTTATTGGCTTTAGGGGGAAAAAAAGTGCTGGGAGATGGGGTGGGCAGGGCAGCCATTCCTGGGGCTGGGAGAGTGGGTGGGGGATGGGCCTGTGTGATTCAGGGGACAGTGATTCAATTTGGTGATTCAAATCACTGTCCCAAATTGGCCAAATCCAAATATAAAGTGAATACTAGCTGCTTTGTACAGGCCTGCTAGCTGCCCCACTGGCAGATTGAGGCATGGGGGTTGGACCTGCCTCTCCCCTGCAGCTCTTCCCAAGTTCAAATTGGGGAGCCGAGGCCAGGAACTCCTTGCTGCTGGGGCATGGGACATTTGTCTATGCCCTGGTAGCAGGCAGCCCCCCAGGGCCAGGGTGCTGGTGCTCCCTGCCAGCCCCTGGGCTAGCATCGAGGGAGGGCCTAGATCTCCCCCTGGTGGTGGCAGGGACCCATTGCAGGGCCTTTAGGAAGGAGGAGCAGTTTGCTGCCATTAGCTGCAATTCTGCTCCTTCTTGTCTGCATGTGTGGATGCCACTCCAGGACTATTTACTCACAAGCAAACTGCTCCTGGATATAATGCATGTGTACACGCACCCACTGTTAACAAATTATATAATAATGTCAAAAATTGGGCTGCCTCTGAATCCTGGGATTCATCTTTTTTTTTCTTTCTTTTTTTTGTAGATTGTAATGTGAACATCAAGATTTGGTGGAAGGAAGTTTTGTGAGTTAAAGGTTTGGAGTATACCTTTTCTCAGTGATTTTTTACCTGTGGATTAAGCCCTTGGGAACTTTTCACTTTGCATGTTTATAAATCCAATTTTCAATGACTCATAATTTCCTTAGTATACTGTGTTTTATCCCCACAAGCATACAAAACCATGGAGCCTACACAACTCATCACATTTGCGAGAGCCCGGCAGGAAAAATTATGCTGAGGGGAAACCAGCATGGGTTCGTAGCAGGTAGATCATGCCTGACTAATCTAGTTTCTTTTTATGACCAGGTTACAAAACGCCTGGATGCAGGAGTAGGGGTTGACGTTGTTTACTTAGACTTCAGGAAGGCCTTTGATACGGTATCCCACACCATACTGGTGAACAAGTTAAGAGGCTGTGACTTGGATGACTACACAGTCCGGTGGGTGGTGAATTGGCTAGAGGGTCGTACCCAGAGAGTCGTAGTGGATGGGTCGGTATCAACCTGGAAAGGTGTGGGCAGTGGGGTCCCGCGGGCTCGGTCCTTGGACTGATATTCTTCAATGTCTTCATCAGCAACTTGGAGGAGGGAGTGAAGTGTACTCTGTCCAAGTTTGCAGATGACACAAAACTGTGGGGAGAAGTGGACACACTGGTCAGACCGCAGTTGGAATACTGCATGAAATTTTGGGCGCTGCACTTCAAGAGGGATGTGGATAACCTGGAGAGGGTCCAGAGAAGGGCCACTAGTATGGTTAAGGGCTTGCAGACCAAGCCCTACGAGGAGAGACTAGAGAACCTGGACCTCTTCAGCCTCCGCAAGAGAAGGTTGAGAGGCGACCTTGTGGCTGCCTATAAGTTCATCACGGGGGCACAGAAGGGAATTGGTGAGGCTTTACTCACCAAGGCGCCCCTGGGGGTTACAAGAAATAATGGCCATAAGCTAGCAGAGAGCAGATTTAGACTAGACATTAGGAAGAACTTCTTCACAGTTAGAGTGGCCAAAGTCTGGAATGGGCTCCCAAGGGAGGTGGTGCTCTCCCCTACCCTGGGGGTCTATGCAGGGGGTCGGACTCGATGATCTATTGAGGTCCCTTCTGACCCTAACATCTATGAATGATCCTTTATAAAGATCATCCATGGCTGAGGTCTGAAACTCCAGTTAAGTTTGGAAATTTAGGTCAGATCTGTAACTGGTATATTTTTAAGGTTTTAGCTAAACAACATTTGGGTTTCAATTAATTTTTTTAAAGTCTTTTGTAGAAAAAAAATTGATGGCCAAAAATCTTTTTTTTTTTCCAAATGTTTTTTGCAGCTGTGACATACAGGCATCTTTGTCTCTCAGACTACACTCTGGTCTTCAGCTGAAACCAGCTAGCCCAGGCTAGCTGGGATCATGGTTATCCTAGGAGCTGGTAAGTAGGGGGCAGGGGAGAGGGGACCATGGGGGACCCCTGCCAGGCCCCATCCCCTACCTGCTCCACCCACTCCCCCAGGCCTCCCATGGCTGTCCCCCCTCCCCAGCTCCTGGTGCTTTAAAAAAAAAAAAAGCTAGTGATCCTAGGGATCATGGTTATTACTATATACACAGGTTATAATATGCATACACATGCAAACACAGGAAAAATGATCTACAACATTTGAGGGATTGACATGTATGCTCAAGCCATGTCAGTAGGACAAAGAGAAGGGTAGATGTGCATATGAGATTTCATCATGCAAGTACTGGTAAGTTCTAGGTAGCTACTATAGACATGATCCTAAAAGATGTTTTTGCTTTTATATAGAATGCTTCTTTGAGGTAAAAATATAAGAGCAGAACATAATGACAGACAAAGTTCCAGCAGTTCTTGTCACCAACCTGTGGAGATGAGAAGGCTGTCAGAGCTATCAACTGAGGGGTTTGAATTGCTTTCTGGAGTCATTTTGAATTAAAAACTAATCATAGTTTTCTTTGATAACTCTTTTTAGTTGAGTGCAGCTGGAGGAAAATCAGCCACAAAGGGAATTCAATTTTTTTTTTTTTAATAATTAATTTTGACTTTCTTTACCACATCATTTCTGGGTATCTGTCATCTTTTTTTTAATTTCCCTCTGTACAACATGAAGGAAGACATTTTTGGCAAATAAAATGACTAGTAAATTTGTCATCCTTCCCTCAGCCAGTGCTTTCAGAATGTATTTATATGCATCAGGCATCCCTTACTTCCCAAACAAAAAAGGGGACCATAAATGACAGTGGTATTTGGCCTTGACTAGTTTCAATGAAGAGATTCACTTTTTAAAGAACAAATGATTAATGAAAAAAAACCAGATGTGAGTATTTTCTTTTTTTTTTTTTTGACTACCACATTATGGTTTTTACCATATTCTCCATTCATAGAGCCTTTAAAACCCTATTGAAATACGTATTTTCAGAATAAATTTCCCTTGTAATGCTTTGTTTTCTGCTCTTAACTGTGCTTTTTTTTTCTTTTCCATCTACCCATGTGTCCCGGGGGAGAATGGGGGAAAGAACCTCAAACAACAAACAGGGACCCCCTTGAAGAAAAGGGAAAAGATTTAAAAATAACTCAAAGAGGTTACTTACCATCAGCAGCAGGACCCATGACGCAGCTGGAGGGAGAGAGGAAATCTGCGCGGGTCATAAGCCGCACCTTTATCCAGCTGAGACCAGCTGGTGATATCACTGGCAATCACCAGCCAGTGGGGATAAAGGGAACCTGCAAGGAAGATGGTAATGAGGGCAGAGCAGAGATGGGGAAGTTTCTGACACCGGGCACCACCCAGAATACCTGGAGAGTGAGAGAGCCGGCCGGGGCTGTCTACTGCAATGAGGGACAAAGTGTGGAAGAGACTGAGGGGGCAGATGAGGCTCCCTGCAGTGACAGAAGCAGAGCTGATGGACGGATGACAGAGCTGGAGGAGGCTCTCCTCGCTGACAGAGGTGGGAGCGTTGGAGGAGCACAGGAGGCAAAGAAGGCTTCCCCTCTGGGTGGAGACAGAATGGGGCAACGAGGAAGTATACCTCAGCCAGAGGCTGGGTGTCAGCCCACAACATGAAGGGTGGCTGAATATGTAGGGAGACACCTCAGGGTAGCAGAAATGGGTCACTCCCTACAGGGGAGAAAGATGACAGCAGCCTGTGGCAGACAGGGCAGAGGGAGAGCCATAATGACCCGGGGCAAAGGGCCGCGGTCTACACTGACCATGATGAGCCAGACCTCAGCAGCATCAGAGGGCATGAGGGGTTGCCTGTCACCCTGACATAAGGGGAAAGGACTGATCAGGTCCCCCCACACTTGATTTTCATTAGTCTTTTCTTTCTTTAGTTTTCCCCGTTTTGGAGGGGCTGAGAGAGAGGGTGAGGTAATATAGCCAGGAGGGCACTGTATCACATTTTTTATTGCTCTTCCATCTTTTGTTGGTGTGTAGAGTGAATTTTGGAATCCCAGGTAGGGACTGTTTGAGCCAGGAGGATGTGATATATATATATTTTTTTTCATAGCCCTAATTTTGATTGAGGTAGTCGCCTCAGGAGGCAGGCCCTAGAGCATGATAGGGACACATGAGCAAAAGGGTCCCAAGGAAGACGAACATCATCAGGGGTATGACCACAAAGATCTGATGACCCACCGGAGCTTGGCATCAGGTTGGGGTGTAGGCAAGGTGGAGCCCCACAGACTACCACCGGGCAGTCTGTTCTGCGCTGCAGTTGAACCCTGGGTGACTGCCCCCCCCTTCATGGTGTAACATTCAAAGTTGTGGCAGGAGAGATTGGGGGAAGCCACTTGGGGGATAGACAGCAGCCCATGGGCCTACCGGAGATCATAGGACACCCTCCACTGGCCGCACAGACCAAGGCCGCATGAGACCGGATGTTTGAGGCCCGATGGGTACACCATGCTTCTGCTCTTCCTTTGAAGGAAAGGGATTGTTTGTTCTTTTGATTATGGATGGCAGAGAAAGATTGCTGCTAGGGATTCTGAAATGGGTAAAAAATACATATATAGTTCATATCCTCTGACTTCAAAAAGTTTGTCTGGAGGGGGCAGAAAGAGGCATAGGGCAATGACAGAAGTGACAGTTTCTTGTGCAATCAGGCCCCTGAAACGCTCTACAGCCATGCACTGACAGAAGTGCATGGCTGCAGTGCTTTAAAAATGCCTGATCATGCAACTATCTGAGCAGAGTGTCTTAACTAATGTCTGTCCAAAGAGGAGCACTTTCTTTAACATCTGTCAGCACATACCAGGAACAGTGCTGGGCTGGATCAGCCCAGCCTCATCTCTAGTGGTGGCTTCAGGATGGGAGACGGGGAAGAGAAAGGAGGGATTCCATCTGTGGTTTGCCCAGCCTGCACTGCAGGGTGCAGCAGGTGGATTGGAACCTGCTCAAGGTAGGGGTGGCTCCAATCCACCCTCCCTACCTTCCAGCACAGGTCAAATGGCATGAGTTACAGAAGGGAGCTGCACATCTGTCAGTGCTCACAGTCTCTTTTGCTAATTGGTGGAAGGAAACAAATGAACCCAACTCAATTGAGTCTGGTCAAGAAGAGACATCTCATGATAATGTCTGGGCAAGAGACTTTACTTCTGTTCTCTTTGGGCTTGACAAGTGACCCTTCTATCTGCAAGCAACATCTCTACCTGTTTCCTCAATATTCTCAGATTTTTTTTTTTTCTTTTTTTTGACCATATACTCCGTGTGATGAACTGGCTGGTCACAGTACACAACCCATTCAGTATGGTTTGGAATTGTATGTTCCTTTCCTTCCCTAAAAATTTGGAGGTCAAGAGAAAAAATATTCCTTCCTTTTCACAGGGCACATCTACACAAGACGCTACAGCTCTGTAGCAACATGCTATGGTGCCGTAGCATCTGTTGACAGTGGTGGCGTCATGGTTTTTGCCAATGTACCAACATGCTCCCTTATTATAATGCATTGATACAGTGATGTAGAGGCCAAACATAACTACGCACAGCTGGCACAGTGAAGTACAGGCTGTTACTGTTCTGTCTTTTAGTAC